TTCAGGAGGATAGATAATGGGCTAAATAGAAAGAGGGCTGACTGATGGATGGGTGGAGAAGATTAAAGAGCTTGGAGAATCAGATAAGAGAGAAAGGAGGAGATGAAGAGGGGCACACGTGGAGTCAGGTTTATAGACAGAGAAAATAATAATAAAAAAATTCTTTGAATAAAAAAATACAGGTTTTGTTGTCTTACCCTGCCAGAAGGGAGGTTACAGTTTTCCAGCGCTGTCTCCACTCGCTTCCTGTCTGCTGAGAACATCCTGAAAATACTGTAAGGGGGATAAAGAACACACCCTCCCATGAGTGAAAATACACACATGATAAGTTAAAACCCCATTTTACTTTCAGTATAGATAAGAATATGTTGAGCTAGGATTGAACTGAAGTACTGAAGCTTGGGATCACACTTTCTGCACCCTGTAGGTGAACTTGAGAGAAAACCACGATCTTTACAGACGCGAGAAACACGACGGGTGAAAGAAGACAAAAACATCTATGATTTAATGTATCATTTGTATTTGTAATAACGTGTGAATGTAAGAAGAATTTGTTTGCAAAATATTTGATGAGATTAGATTTCAAAAATCAGACTCAACCCTAACCTAACCCTCTAGTTCACATATGTCAGAGTCAAGGCCCGCGGGCCAGATGCGGCCCGTGGAGCATTTTTATGTGGCCCGCGAGATGAATATCAAAAATATATTAAAACTGGCCCGCTGGCCGATTTTACCGCAAATACTACAACTCCCATGATGCTTTGCGGCGTCAGCGCGGAGCCGACGCGCCCCCTCCTTTGTGTTTTTTCCGCCTGCTGCTGGTGTCTGCAGCTCCGCTGTCTCGGACAAACTACACTCCTCTCACTCAGCGCCGAGTTCACTCAGCTATTTTCTGACGTTGAAGCCCAGAAACAGAGATTGTAATCGCTCAGTAATGTGTTCATGACCGACAGAGAAAGTTTTCCAACTAACGTCCAGACAGAGCTGATATAACTCCAGCGAGCAGCGACACGCTCAAACCAGCACGGCTCTGTGGCTTGCTGTCGTTGTGTTTCCTCCCCGACACACAACAACGTGGTCAAGCTGCTCAGACATGTTCATCAGCACAAACCTATGTGAGCACCTGTTGTCATCTAACGTTGTCATTATTATGATGAAGATGAACAAAACAACAGAGTCTCCTCCTCAGCTCAGATCAACCCCATGATGCAGGTATCTGGCTGGAACAGGTGAGCATCACAGTAAACCAGTGGAGCAAACTGAGCTTTAAATATGTTGGTTTTATGCTCATTTTCTGCTCCAAAACATGAAAGTTAACAGGTGAGATGTTGCATTTTCATTTAAGATAAAATGATATTTTTATTTTGTTGTTGGCCCGTGAGAAAAGATTTAACCTACAGTAAACAGGAAGTGGAAAGGCTGCAGATAGATGAATAGAATAGAAAATCCCTTTATTGTTCCTCAGTGGGGAAAGCTGGACGTCACAGCAGCGATGACACGTATTACAGGAGAAAAAAAGGAGAATAAAAATAAGAAAAATGAATAAACAAGAAAACATAAATCCTGAATAGATTTTAAAAATGCTGATTATACCACAAGTAATGAATACCACTGATGCCTTTTATTTAAAACTGACTTGCTCGTGTGTCATTTGGTTATTCCACATTCAGTGTTAATGCAGAAATAAGTTTGTTTCCAAATTAAAAGGTTCAAAATTGCATACATGTTGACAAAGAAAATGTGCAAATTTGCCGTCACTTTTTCAAAAAATATTAAGTTTGGCCCTCGACTCCGTCCCAGAGTTTCATTTCGGCACCGTGTGAGTTTGACACCCCTGATCTAGTTGAACATTAAGTGGAACGGCGTCTCAACCGCCTATAGAAGGATTGAATAAAACCTATAAATTATATTAAAATGCTAATAAAGCCACATTAAGTCCAAATAACTGCGATCCATTGAAATTTTTAATGCTGTTGTTGTTTGCCAGAGCTACAGGTCTATTTGCTAACATCTCATTGTTGTCTATAGAGAAAATGGTGTTTGTTGCAAAATCTTCATTAGGGTGACCAGATGGGGCCAGAAAACAATCAGGGGGTGGCACACCAGATTGTGTTCTAATACATATCAAGCGTGTTTGACAGTAAGATTGGGCTCCTGTTTAATTCTTGTGGACAATAAAGATTTGCTACAATGAACAGCTGATGTGTGATTGTTTAGCTCTGTTTTCGTTTGCTGTAGTCTGCTGTAATTATTTGCTGTGATTTGTCTGAGTGGGTCTATGAGCGATGACTGTAGGCTTAGTAGGAGAGCACAGTCGGGCTGACATTAGTCAAGCAGACATGTCCTCCCAGCTAGGAGGTTAATTCCCTAAACGGCGAGGAGCACCGCTCTGCCTCTGTGTTTTGACACCCACCGTTTCCTGTGTGGCTCTGAGGGAGGTTATCACGGGAGTTCACTGATGCTGCCTGAAAGCTCAACTTGAGTAATGGAGATGGAGAGATTTTGGATTTTCAACGAGCTGATGACAAAGATGAAGTGATTATTCACTCGACTGAAATAAACTGAAATTTCTTGCATATGTTGCTAACTGAGCTACGGCTACAGGTATGGAAAATTTTGGTGGTGGAGTTTTCTACGGAATTATCCGTGGATTCCTAGAGCACTCAGAGAGAATACAAACAACTGCTTTCCCCAAATTCATCCATTCAAACCTGTCCTCTCCTCGCTGTCAGGAGATCAGCACGTGTGCGTGTCTGGGTGATAAGCAGTTATTACGATTCAGCCTTTAATCATTTACTGAAAGCACTTTTCAAAATACTTGTCTTTACATAATCAGCTATAGGCCAGCAGATCTTACTTATTGTGCAGCAGCAAAACATTTGTGAGTGATTAGCCCTACTTTGAGTTTCCTTAAATTCCCACTTATTCACGGTAATACTGATGAGGTAGTATTAGACGGTGAAGGATTAGAAAGAGTCGATCTGTCAAATCTAAAAGAATACAATAGTCCAAAGGGTGGAGGACAACTACAGGGTGAGAGTTTAAGAGCCTTATAGCCTCGGAGAAAAAGCTGTTCCTCAGCCTTGCTCAGGTTTTCATGCTGCACAGCCGTCTGCCTGAGGGAAGGAGGGTGAAAGGGCTGAACTCGTTCTTTCCTCTGGTTTTACTTCCATGGGTGAAAATGTCCTCTAGATAAGAGGAACTGCTGTCCACAAAGGCTTCCTGTCAGCCAAAAAGCAGTTTCCATACCAGACTGTTGTAGATGGTGATGCTCTTGTAGCGATGCTGGCTTTGTCCTTGGTCCGTGTAAGGTCAGGTGTCCCGTGCAGGCTTGAGTAATTAGCTATTTTGTCTTCGCCACATTGGTGCCTAAAGCCTAGTTTATACTACTCCATCTGCACAGGTGCAGAGATATGCACACACATAGATGGATACGTTTTACTTCTCCTTTGCCTGAGGATTGTTCCAAAGAAATCCCTCATTAGGACAACATATAGCACAGCACTTTTCCGCGGGGTTCAGCACCATTGCAGTTTCTGGTCAATAGTGATGGATAGTGAATTTGGTATTTTTCAGGCACTGACCGAATTCTGTGGTACCTACCAAGGACAGAGTTACGTGATATGAAAAGGTGCCTTGTTTCAGTACCTGACCTTTATTAATGAGAACTCACAAGACAGCGATTTGCGAAGATATACAGCAGCGCATGTGCAAGGGTGTAATGTCGTCAGTCGTTGCGAGCGAGCTGTAAACAGAGTAAGCAGCATGGCAGAGAGAGAGAGCCTCTAATGTTTGGGTCTAGTTCAGTAAACGCGGTGAGAGACAGGGCGATGATGACGACATCAACAACGATCTAAGTGAGCTATCATCATATTCATCTGCTCCAGCAGGTAAATTAACTGTTTAGGAAAAGGTTAGCTTGATATTTTAGCTTCCGTTGCTATTTGGTGCGTTCGCTTTCCCCTCGGAACTCGGAAATCCCGACTTCTGAGTAGAAAAAATGAACAGTTTGAAAAAGAAGGGCAAAAGGAATGAAGATGCACAGTAAATTTAGTTCACAGCAAAGATGTTTGCTTCGGTGTAATTTGCAGTTTATAAAACTAAAAGGACCCACCATCACACCGTTTGTCCAGAGGGGAAAGGACAGGACAGGAGTACATGGAGCTGGGTTTAGTTTGTGAAACACCACAATGTTAAAATACAAACAGCTGTATGGAATCAAAGTTTGTTTTAGTTTTATTTCTAGTTTATAATACATGGTCTCATTGTCAGAGTTATTCCAGAGTTATTTTGTATCATTTAGAAACCGTTGTGGTTAAAGGTTCTCACATTGAATAATTTTGAGCAAACTGTGATGATAAAATACTCACAGTTGCATGTTATTTATTGTGATATTGTCAAATATGGTTATATATTGAGTAAAAAAGACATTTAATTAAAAAAATAGGATTTAAATATTTACACTCAAACACTCAAAAGTATCAAAAATTGGTACAGGTAAGTAGCAGTATTGATTCCTAGGTTTCCAGAATTGACATTGTAACAATGCAAATGTGAAAGGTACCCATTCCTACTGGTCAATGATAGTGGATTTGCTATTGTGTATTGTGCTGTCCAATGTACTCTCCGTTGATTATGTTGGACACTTAAAAAAATCATGCATATCTCAATCACCCTCCTTAAGCCTAGTGATGATGGTCGTTGCATGTCCCAGCACCCACCCACCTGACTGAAAAGAAGTACCTCGGGCTTTAGTGGTTTGCCTTAAGCCCCTCTACCTTGCTCCAACAAATAACTGTGATTAATTAATTCTAATTTAAAGGTGTGGTTGACAGAAAACAACTTTTTTTTAAACAATTTTTCATTATTTTGATCATTCACTCTGAGTTTTCCATGCAGGCTGAATATGAAAACAGTCTCCAACACCTATCTCCTGCATTAAGCTTCTGATAGAAAATAGACGGTAAAACGCTAGGATCTGAAAATCCTCACAGATCTATGTCACACTGTGAATTTGCATTCACGGCCTCGCCCATCTTGGCTAGCACCCGCCCACAGGAACACTTTTTTTTTCCAGCGAGGAGAGAAAGCAGGGTGTCTAGGTGATACTGACTTTGCAACATGACTGAACACATTCTGTTAGCCAATCAGAAGTAAGGTGTGTGCATATCATTAATAAGAATGAGCAATTCTGCTGTTTTCAGCCCACCTTTGCACCAGCAAACTTCTGCATCCCAGAACAGGTGCAGCATAGTTTTTTTAATGACTCATAAAGCATTGTTTTACACTAAAGAACACTGCAGATGTATTGAATAAACAAGTAAATCGCACCTTTAAAGAAAACTTCATAGGTTATTGTGGCAATGTCATGTACCCCTAAATTGCATGCACAGATGTGTTATTTCAGTAGAAAATGTAGATTTGAATTTTACAGCTGAGTTTGAAAGAAAGAATGTTCTGAATCTGTGAAGTAGAGATAATAAAATATCTTTCATCAGTGCATAAATAGAGACTGCGTGCATGTACGTAGTGCCCAAATGCCCAGATACGGAGAAAAGTGCAGTTTGCATTGATCAAAAGCGTGGAAAGGTGGCAGGGGAGATAGGGCTGTCGTGGTAACCGCAAAAATGAAATACCGCGATATGAAGAAGCCCACTGCGCTGCATCATGGGCCACCGCGATTACTGAACGTGATTCAACTCAATGATGCATGTTGAGAAGGATGGCTGCACTGGTATCAAAATGAAACGTTACTTCGCTCCTTTGGGAGCACTTTGGTTTTCAGTACGTCAGCTGCTGCGCAGCCAGAGTCCTTGGCCGAGACAGAGCTGCCACCAGCGGCAAAAAAATAATAATAAATGCTTGGAGACCTGCTGAAGTCCCGGACAAGCACTGCTTCTGCAACCGTCCCGAAGAGAGTTTGAGCCGAGCTGGAGCTCACTCGCTACCTGCAGGAGGAACGCATCCACCCTAAAGAAACCTCCCTGACATGGTGGAGCAACAACCGGGAGAGATTCCCTTTGCTCGCCAGAGTCGCACGCAAGTACGTGTGTGTTAGTGCAACGAACGCACCATGCGAGAGGGTTTTCAGTGTTGCTGGAAATGTTGCCACCCCTCTCAGATCCTCTCTCAAACCGTATATGGTTAACATGCTGGTTTTCCTTGTAGGTAACAAGGACGTGACCGAGCTATAAAGCACCATCATTCGTGTGTAGTGAAATGATAGTGTGCCCGCCCCCCGGCGCGCGCGCGCCCGGTACATGTAATTTTTTATGCTTTATTTTAAACAACTAAACAAAATGGGGACTTGTTTCTTATTTGTTAGATGCTGCAGCCAAATTTGCATTTAAAAGTTTAACCTCCTGAATTTAGTTGTTTTTAAGTTCAGTCGGACTCCGACTGTCGGAGAAACAAACGTTACTGCAATCTGTGTTGTTACTGCCCTTTGATCTGCATTCAGTAAAGTGTTATAAAAGAAGGCACAGCAATTTTTAACCTTTTTTAAATGTGTAAACATTATGTTTAGATAGTACTGCAATTAAAAAGGGCTGCAATAATATCGACACCGCAATATTAAGCCACCCTGAATCACCGCAGGGGGAATTCCTCAACCGCGACAGCCCTAAGGGGAGAGAAGGGTGAGTCAGACAGACTTACTTCTTGACAGGAATTCGTCCCTCAGGATTCAGCTGCAGCTTCAGCCGAGCGTATCTGAACAGAAAACATGTTTTGAACACGTTTTAGTTTTCCTCTGCAACTTTTTTCCTCAAATGTATTATTAATGCATGTTCTGTGACCAGTCAGTTTGGTTTGTGTGTTCGAATATTTAAGTTCTAAATGCACAATTCAACTCCGATGTTGAGGTTATCTTTGCATACCATGAATGTCTGCTTATGTTTACATGCCAAGGTTAGGCTTGTGGTTAATCCCTGACAGTCTCAAGTGTTGGCAGTGCACAGCCATGCAGCAGCAGCAACAACAGCACGGACAGAGCGTTCAGTTCTATAAATAGCTCAGCTGCAACAGGAGCTATCGTTACAGGCTGAGCTTTAAGTAGCTGCTGGCTAATAATTAATATCCATCTCAGTGTCCACTTTAGAGGGCAGCAGACTAGCTGCTAAAGGGAAAGTCACTGAAGCTTTGTGAAGTTGATAGGCACCATTAATGTTTTCGCCTTTAGCCTTTTTCTTTAAAATATGTAAAGTTTACGTCAGCAGCTACAGAGAGCTTTAAAACGAGATAACCGAGCACGTCTCATAACTTCAAATATTCAAAGAATATAAAATACAATGACAATTAATTAGCAGATGCATTTATTCAGCCAACACCTGACGTATTAATAAATAAACAACCACTAGGTGGTGGTAATGTGCAAAGCACTTTCCAAACCACCACCATGCTTTTCCAGATAGGGGTTCGTGTATTCAGCATAACATCATGTTTCTACCATTGTAATTTTACTCTGAAGTGAAAACAAAAATGAAACTCATTTTCAAATTTCTTTATTAAACACCACAATTGAAACAGGAAGCAGATATCTCAGCAAAAGCCTGTGATTAGTTATTTAATGCTACTGTGATTGTATGTGGATGCGCTGGTCAGACAATCAGCTCTACATCACAAATGCACAGAAACAGGGTCACATATTATTAGTGTTGGGTACCGAATTTGGTACTTTTTAAGGTACCGACCGAATTCCATAGTACCGACGGAGCACCGATTCACGTCATTTCAAACGGTGCCTCGTTTCGGTACCCGTCCTTCATAACGAGAACTTGCCTAGACAGCTGTGCATGCGGAAGAACGTTACGTCGGTCGCTGTGAGCCAGTTGTAAACAGAGCAGCATTGTAGAAAGAATGCACGCTAAAGCTTGGGTCCACTTCACTAAATGTGATGGGTAACTGGGTGATGATGAAACCAGCGACAACGATCTAAGTGAGACATCCTCATCGTAATCTGCTCCGGTAGGTAAATAAAATGTTTAAGATAACGTTAGCTTGATAAGTTAGCTTCCGTTCCGCTAATGGTGCGTTCGCTTTCTCCTCGGAACTCCGAATTTCCAACTAGAAGAACATGAACGCGCTCTAAAGTTTGGCTTCACTTTACTAAATGCGACGGGTGATTGGGTGAAGATGAAACCAGTGACAACGATCTAAGTGTGAGGCATCATCGTTTTAATCTGCTCCAACAGCTAAATAAACTGTTTAAGATAACGTTAGCTTGATATATTAGCTTCCTTGCCACCATTGTTATCATCTAATGGTGCGTTTGCTTTCTCCTCGGAAATTCTAACTTCCCAGTAGGAAAAATCAAATGATAAAGGACGGCAAAAGGAATAAAGATACACAGTAAATTTAGTTCACAGTAAAGATGTTTGCTTCAGTTTAATTATCAGCTTATAAAACTACAAGGACGATGTTAAAATACAAACTGTTGTATGTTATTTATCGTGATATTTATCAAATATTGTTATAAATTTAGAATAATATATATTTAATTATAAAAGATAATTAAAATATTAAACACTCAAAAGTATCTCAAATTGGTACGGTTAAGTACCGGTATCGCTTCCTAGGTACCGGGAATTAGTACCGAATCGATTCAAATGCCAAAGGTACCCATCCCTACATATTATGTTGTTGCATCATGTTGTGGCTTTGTTGTTTTAATAATAGAATAAGGTGGAAACACGGAGTTTTTCTCTGCAAACATTTATGGGTGAGCTAATACTTTACTGGCAGACTAGAGGGGCACCCTTTAACATGTTGATGCAAGAGACGAGTGAAAAGGAAAAACCCCAATTTTCATGACTAGCAAGGCTGCAACACAGGCCAGCATGTGGCAAAATCATGGATATAACAGCTCTGGTCCTACAGTGTGTTGTGTTGGGCTACATGACAAAACGTGACTTTAAAGGAAAGAAAAAATTGTGGAAGAGGAGGAGGAAATAGATTCCCTTCACTACAACCACAACCTCACTTTCTGACTGGCTAAACGTCACATTCAACAGGCTGCTCACTCATTTGTCCTTGGGGCACGCCATACCGGCTGTGATATTAGGCCAACACAATTTAAAAAAAAAAACATTTATAATCCCCAAATTTATGATCGGAGTGGTCCCAACGTATATCAGAGCAGATCAGAGACTTTCATGATAGACCACACACGGCAGGAATATCTGATCAAATTATCTTTGGGCAATCTGGTGCATTCTTAAGATTGTCAGAAGAGTAGAATCAGGTCAAAAATCTGCAGAATTATCTTGCTGTTATTTTTATTTATTTATTTATTATTTTTTACCAGCACTAACGTGCACTGCCCACTTCTGTTTCATCCACTGGTGCTTTCAGCTGCGGGACTGTGGTCAAAACATTTTATTCACTATTAACCTCAAGAACCTCATCAGTCTTTTGAGCAAACCTATTAAACTGGCACATAAAGTTATCGCTACCATTATCAACTCTGAGTTTGCATATTCAAAAGAAATTTCAAGGAACTACATTCAAATTGGAACTGTTCCTTTGCTGAAAGGCCCATCTCTAGTCATCCACTGCTAAACCTTGCAGTTGAATCCAGATTACTGATGTTTAACGTGTGAGTGAGACGTGACCAAAGGGGTGTCTTTCATTCTTCCCCAATGATCTCAAAAGAACATCTTATAGCAAGCATTCTTTAGAACACACGCTGGGTTATAGTTTGCTTCCTGTTGCTCATCTACCAAGCCCCCACCAAAATGAAAACAGCATATCACAGCCGTAAGAGCTCAAGAGAATTGACCACATGTTGAGAAACATCAACATCGTCTCAGGGATAAAGCCTCCTCCAGCTGTAGAAGGGGATCTGTAAGCGAACAGAGCTCAACAGCTGCTGCTGTGAGTGACCAAGGTGACTGCGAAACCTGCCCACTTAAATTTTTTTCCAACTCTCCTAGCGCTATGTGGTCGATGGCCACTTTTATTGTCTCATACGTCAATTAGCCTCCTCGTGGGTGTGAGTTAATGGCTTCTGTAGAATAAACATCAGACAGCTAAGACATGTCACCAAGCACAGCCCCAGGTATTCTCTAAAAGCAATATCTCCCATTCATATTTAAACTTGCTCTGCATGAGCCTCATTAAGTCTCTCAGTATGTAGATAAATCAGATGTGAACCGTGTGTGTGTGTGTGTGTGTGTGTGTGTGTGTGTGCCTCAGATGGACAATGATGATGCAGTAAGCAGCTGAGCACAATTAATCTACAAAACAAGAGGTGGTGTGAGGATAACTGATAATGAAACAAGATTGAGGTTTTTTTTATGTAAGACTGAAACCTGTGCTTGCTGCTCAGATGTTTATGTGTTGAGAAGACTTTTCATTTTTCATGCTTACCATGAGGATTGATGCTATGTTAGATGTGTGTGTGCATGCTTTTCTGTGCTTACAGAACATACCCTTTTTCAAGGCAGGCCGCTCTGGACATGTTCTGTGCCAGGAGGTTTGATGCCAGCTTGAACAGCTCCTCCGCCCATTCCTGCCATAAACAAACCATGATCATGAAACATACTGGCCACTTTACTGGGTACACCATTCCCACTGCTCTTTAGCACAAATTAAATTAATCACGTGGTGACAACTCAATGCATTTAGGCGTCTAGATGTGGTCAAGACGATCCGCTGCAGTTGAAACTGAACTTCAGAATGGCGAAGAAAGGGGATTTAAATGATTTTTGAACTTGGCATGGTTGTTGGTGACGGACTGGTATTTCAGAAACAGCTGATCTTCTGGGATTATCACGTACAACCATCTCTAGGGTTTAAAGAGAATGGGCCAAAAAAGAGAAAACATCCAGTGAGCGGCAGTCCTGTGGGCGAAAATGCCTTGTTGATGCCAGAGGTCAGAGGAGAATGACCAGACTGGTTCGAGCTGATAGAAAGGTAACAGTAACTCAAATAACAACTCGTTACAACCAAGGCATGCCGAAGAGCATCTCTGAACCCACAACACGTGGAACCTTGCGGCAGATGGGCTACAGCAGCAGACCATACCGAGTGCCACTCCTGTCAGCTAAGCACAGGGAACAATAGATGATCGGAAAAATGTTCCCTGCTTTGATGAGTCTCGATTTCTGCTGTGCCATTCAGATGGTAGGGTCAGACTTTGCTGTCAACAACATGAAAATATAAATCCATTTTGCCTTGAATCAATGGTTCAGGCTGGTGGTGGTGGTGTAATGGTGTGGGGGACATTATCTTGTCACACTTTGGGCCCCTTAGTACTAATTGATCATCGCTGCAACACCACAGGCTACCTGAGTATTGTTGCTGACCATGTCCATCCCTTTATAACCACAGTGTACCCATCTTCTGACGGCTACTTCCAGCAGGATAATGCCTCATAAAGCTTGTCAAACATCTCAAACTGGTTTCTTGAACATGCCAATGAGTTCACTGTACTCAAATGGCCACCAAGTTCACCAGATCTTAGTCCAAAAGAGCACCTTTGGGATGTGGTAGAATATGTGATTTGAATCACGGATGTGCAGCCGAAAAATACGCAGCGACTGCGTGATGCTATCATGTCAATATGGACCAAAATCTCTGAGGAATGTTTCCAGTACTTTGTTGAATCTATGCTACAAAGGTATAACTGCCAAGACGTTTCTAACAGTCTTTATTATGAGAGAAAACTCAGGTAAGGGCAGAGTCGAAGGCAGGCGTGGGTCGAAACCAGATCAGTTTCAGACCAGTCGAAACTAAGCAGGTACTAGGAGCAGGCTGGAGACGTGGTCGTAGACAGGCTAGGGTCGTGGTGGCAGGCAGAGTTCTTGGCGATGGTCAGGCATGGAAACGAGGTCAAGGGACTGTGATCAGGCAGGAAGGGAGGCTGGAAGATTTACTGGCAAAAAGTGTTCAATAATCTGGCACTGAATGGTTGGATGGCTGGTTCTTAAGAGGCAGGGGAAACAGATGTGTGTGATGAGCTGAGGAGTCAGGAGCAGGTGAAGTGGATGGAGCTGATGAGATGCAGGCTGGGATTGCTGTGGAAACAGGGTTTGGCTGGGGCTAGATGAGGGGACCAGGTGTGAAGCATGAAGGCTGATGAGGTGAATGATGGCGCATGGAGGTCAAGGCATGGCAGGATCATGACATTAAGCCAGTTCTAATGGCAAAAGGGGACCCAACCCGGGTACTAGCAAGGTGTACCCAATAAAGTGACCAGTGAGTGTATATATCCAATATATTAAAATCAACAAAACTTCTAGATCCAGTTACTGTTTCTTACCACATTTATCACTGTGATAACTCAAAAGTTCTTCTAATCCATAAAATAGCACAGATACATGACGATTCTGTAGTTCTGCTCATTTTTTACATCTCACCTTCGCAATCTCCTCCTGAAAGGCCATGAAGTTCAGGTAGGTGATGTTGACCATGTCCATGCCGCTCACCACTGTCAGCATCCTGTTCTCCATCTTACCCGCCAGTGTGTTGACATCCAACAGCTCACGCAGCTTTGCATCCTTTAGAACGAAACACAAACACAGAAAGGAAATCATCAGTCTTAGCTGGACGGTACATTTTCGTACTTGTGAGTTTAAAACATCTCTCACGACGTAGCAGAACAAATCACCCAAACCTGGGTCCTGAAACCTGCTAGCTAAACAAAACTTCAAGGGAGGATGAAATGAGACAAACCAGACGAGGAAAAAAAGACGAGGAATGCATGTTTTTAAGGAAGTGAGCGGCAGTTCTGTCCTGTGTCATGAGAATCTGTCTCTCAACTGAAGTGAAACTGGACCTATTAGCATGCTAGAGTATCTGACAGCTGATTCATCTGATTAATGAAAGGTCTACTCTGGAACAAGGTGAGACTAAAGCCTCAATAAACTCCAGAGAGACTCAAACAGCCCACATTACAGGCTATTAAACCAGCAAAGAGTGTGGATTAAGTAAGGCTATGAATAATGGGTCAATTTACGGGTACAATATGTAACCCCGAGGCCTTTGTCTAACCTTTCTCTCACTTTCAGACAGATGGTAATGAAAGGAGCAATTTACACATTTTACTGTGACCAGTATTCCTTCTGAGACGTGTTTTTTTTTATTTTTACTAATAATGCTAAATGCTACAAACTGAACAGACTGTCTCCACCTTCAGCGAAGCAGTTTCCAGATTTAATTTCCTCCCACATTTGTCATCCAACATATTCAGCACATTGTTTTAAGAAATCTCTTCCTGGTTGTAACACAAGCGTGGGCGCTGGCGACAGTCCAGCTCGCACGGAAACACACTCCAAAGACTTTTCATTCTGAGGACTTAATCATCCGGGGAAAACTAAATCAAACTCGTTTTAGCAAGTACACATTTAGGAAGGCAATCTTTCTAAATTCTAAAACACAAACAAGAATGCCTCTGAGGAACGAGAGAACGCTTTCAGTTCTCTCCTTCGTGGCTTGGTATTCAAGTGGCAAGCAGAATGGTTGCTTGGGCTTAATTAAAACAACCTAAAACCCTGAGAAGGATTGTGCTGAGAAAGAAAATTAACTCCTACTAATTTCACCAATCAAATAAATAAATAAAAAAGCTGAGTACTGTGTCCTGTGTCCTTCTGATAAATGTCCTCTAGACATCTCTGTAACGGAATGAAATGACTGTTTTCCACCTAAAAGTCATTTCCCCCTCTCCTCAGCAAGAACTAATCTGCATGAGATATTGTTCAAGGTCTCATGCATCTGCTTCTAAACTGTTTTACTTTCTAGCCCAAGAGAGAAGAATGAAGACAAAGGACTGTTTCTTTTTTAATAAATTAAAGAACTCTGTTTTTAATAAGCTAATCAAACAAAATGTTAGTCAATAATAAAATGTGAACCAATTTGTGAAATGAAAATATGAATTACTTGATATTATAATCCTATAGAATATAATAAGTAATATAACTTTAAATGTTTCCACTAGAGACTGATCACACGTAAGGTTAAGCCACATCACACATTGCTTTTACTGATCCATTCAGAATCTGCCAGATCTGACGGAGGCGTGGTTTTGGTGGTGCGTGGTAAATCTGTCATCTTTTCATTCGACCGTACATCAAAACATCTGAAGTATAAAACTATGCCCACGTCATCTTTAACGCCAGTTCAAAGCGTTCTAGAGAAGTTGTCGGAGTGGCCAATCCGTAACTTTCCTCTTCAGCCGAAAGAACCGACGACAAGCTGGATAAAATCTGTTGCTGTTCCAACCAAGCAACGGTTCCTTTCAGAATAAAAGCTGAACCATCACAACCCCGTTTTGGGTCTTGCTAGAATATTAGTACTAGCAATCCCTATGTGTTTTTCTATGTATATTAGCATTGTGCTAACCACTCGCTCCCAGTCAAATTGCAGCCTTTGCCAATGGAAAATCTCCTTTTGTCACATCGCAATATAATTGCATATGCAATTTATCGTTCAGCCCTAGTTTGATTGAATTCATTTGTAGCTCTTGTGTCCTCCTAAAGCAGGTTTCTTGAAAATGGGTCTCTGACAAAATACCCACATTCTGATTTGAATGAAAACCTAGTAAATACCCACTTGTGTATTCTGAAAGCACAACACCTGCGTGTCAAAGTGTAAAATGCCACATGTAATTTGCTTAAGCGCACAAAACCAAAACCCTCTATGAAAGCAACTTGGTTGACTGCCAAAGATGAAAGGCTTCTGAGAACAGACACGATAACAGTAAGATGCATATTTCGTTTACTACAGAAGTTGAACGTCAATACTGTTTGGATTCTCCTTGCAGCCATCAGCAGAACATGGAGCTTATCTCCTCGCACGCAGTCGGCATGGAGCTAAAACTGCAGGCCCTTACAGCTACTCAAGAACCATCAACAGCTGTGATGGGAAGAAGACCTGCAGAGAAACAAGCTGATGTCAGGCGGATAAGACCTGCTGCACAGGACTGAAATGAGAGGGGGGCAACATAAAGAGAAGAAACTGAGCTGTGATCAGACAGCACTAAAAGAAGAGGGGCTTAGCCATGGGAGTGAAATGCAATTTGTACTGGTGCATTCTGGGAGCTGTACGAGACATGCCTGAGGTCCTGGTTACCACAAGACTGAAGATTTAGTGTAAACCAGGCAGTGTGGAGGGTGGAAGGGGGTTTGTGATAAAGTTTGTTTGGGCGCTTCCTCGTTGGGGGTGGCGTTTAAACACAATAATAGACTGTTAAATGTCTGGAGTGTGTGTGTGTGTGTGTGTGTGTGTGTGTGTGTGCGTGCGTGCGTGCGTGCGTGCGTGCGTGTGTGTGTGTGTGTGTGTGTGTGTGTGTGTGTGTGTGTGAATATGGGCCATCTATCTGTGTATTCATGCACACTGTGATGCGTTTCGTCAGGCGTTCGCGTCGTCGGTTAGCAGCTGCAGCGTGTCAACATATGAACTCCTCTTACAGATTCAGGTGAAGCAGCTGCCGGAGGAAATGCAGACTTTTCCTGCCTGCGTTGGTTTGTCACAAGGCTCCACCTGTCGCCAGGCATGAGCTCGAACTGTGTCACGCTCTCTTGGGTGCAAGGAAGCAGTTCAGACTGGCAAAGGGAGACCAGAGCACTCCAGTCATCTGCTGCAGCAAGAGACTTGTCTGAACTCACTCATGCATCAATCCCAGCTTTGACACGGTAATTTACATACACACTCTTTCAAAAATAATAAAAACGCATCCCAATGACCCAGACACACAACTGTGTGACACTCGTGCTGCTAAATACACACAAAGGGACATCAGATCAAAGGAAATGTCAACATGAATGATTGATTGAACCAACTACCTTCACATCTGCCAACTCATCAAGATCTGAGAATACCTTTCATGTTATTTCCTTTTTACTATTATTAGTGTTTGTTTAGAAATAAAATGTGTGCCTTTTAAGTTGCTTTGGATTAACATGTCTGCTACATACATAAACACCAAAATAGCATGTCTTCACCTTGGAGGAAACAAATGTTTCACTACTGATGAGTGTTTAGTTAAGAAAAAATCCTACGAGGTTTTAAAACCAAACAATGATTTGGTGTCAGGTACAACTTTCATGAGTGAGCCTCGTCATTGTCACAAAAGGTAATGGGAACAATACATTCAGTGTGTTTCTATACATTTTAAACGCATCTCCGATTTAATGGGACAAATTCCAAAGAAATGAGGATCATCTTCCAAAACTAATCTATACATGTATTTCAGGTTATACACACTAACATCATTACCTATCATGGTTATGCAGATGCCCAGATCTACCTAGCTCTATCACCTAGTGACTGTAGCCCCATAGACTCATTCTGTCCGTGTTTGGAGCAAGTTAAGGACTGGATGCAGTCAAATGTCCTTCAGCTGAAAAAAACAAAACAAGACTGAAGTTATCGTCTTTGGAAATAAGAAGGATAGGATGGAGGTTATTGCTCAACTTGGCTCCAGAGGAATAAATACAAAGACCCAGGTTAGAAATCTGGATGTCATAATTGATTCAGACCTGAGCTTCACTGGTCACATTCAGGCTATGACTAAGATCAGTTGCCCTGCGATGGACTGGCTCTCTGTCCAGGGTGTACCCCGACTGATTGCCCACTGACCGCTGGAGATAGCCACCAGCCCCCCGCGACCCTACGTGGACAAAGCGGGTTCAGACAATGGATGGATGACTGGAACTAGGATCAGTTTTTTTATCATCTTAATCAAATAGCACGACTCAGAGGTCACAAGTCCAGACAGAAGCTAGACAAAGTCATTAATGCATTCATCTCCAGCAGGATGGGCTATTGCAATGGTCTTTGGACCGGTCTTGCCAAAAAAACTGTGAACAGCTGCAGCTTATTCAGAATGCTGCTGCTAGAGTCTTAACAAGAACCAAGAGGATCAAACACATCACTCCTGTTCTTAAAGTTCTACACTGGCTACCAGTAAACTATATAATCTATTTCAAAGTGCTTCTAGTTTTTAAAATATTCATTGGCATGGGGCCAAAATACATCTTTAGATCTCTGTGATCCTTAGGAAACAGTCAACTGGTAGAACCCCGGGTCAGAACCAAACAGAATGAAGTAGCTTTTAGCTACTACAGCATTTCCCCTACATAGGCTCAGGCATGGCGCCACAGCTAAGAAATTCACCCACCCCACTCTCCCCAGAGATGCACAGAAGCAAAACGTTCCATGCGCAAGACACCCCCCCTCCAACCCTCCACACGCACCCTCGCAGATGATGCACATTCTGCGAGGACCCTCCCTCTCCCCACGCCACAGCTGGAGAAATTTCTAGGGAAAACACTGTACTATGCTGCACACGATCAATCAGCATTGATATGACATCAAATGTGCCCCAACTGTAGTAACTTTTAAAATCAGTCTTTCAATCAGTGTTTCTTATGCTGCACCTTCTGCACTGTAACTACTCACCTTTAAACTTGTTTTTCTGATTCTCAAATTTGAAACAAGTTCTTGTGTTAATTTCATCTAAAATAATTTGTGTATTTAAATCACGGTGTCACGTTATTGT